ATGTCCCACACCGCTTTTCAAGCATACGCACCGTGGCACCTCAGCGACGAAACATTTCCACGCTGTAGATGCTGCATGCCCTGGAGGCCAATGCACGCTGCTGCTGCTGCTACTGCTGCTTCTCCTCCTCCTCGTTGCTCCAGCTCTGGTTCCGCTCCTGCTCTTTGGCTCTGAGACATGGCAGAACCGTCGGCGAAATTGGGATTCGGGCCTGCAGCGCTTAGTGTTGACTTGTTAGGCGGCGTGCCAAGTTGCCAGTTTCTGCCAGCCAGCAACGCCAGGGGCCATGTCGTCCCTGAGGAGCAAAGTGTCAAGTGCCTCGCGCAGCCCACCCATGCGACGGTGAATTCATCCGGAGCGGGAGCGAACTCTGGGAAAGGCAGCAGGGTGTGCACGGCGAGCGTTAGGCTCGTTTTAGTTGTAGCGGCTAGCAGGGATGGAGCAGCCAGGCAGAGGCCTGGCGTCCCGAAGTTGGGCTTGGCTGCGCTCTTGGGGTGCCATTATCGAAGCTGTCATTCGTCGTGCCCGGCGTGGGCCGCCATGGGAGGGTGGGGGGTTGTCCTTCTGCTCCGCTTCTGCAGGTCTTCGATGCACCGTGTTCCCAGCGTTCCATTGCCTCCACCGTATCCGTGAGGAATGACGGTAACTGGTAAGGCGAGGCAGGGTGCTCGACATTGTCAACCCACAGCGCGCTCCCGCCTGTACCAGGACCCTAAGCCCAGCCTTCGACCGACAGACCGCCTTCCTCACTGTAGTCGTGAAGTATGAGATCGCGTTTCTGCCACAATTTTATTTTTCTTTTTCCCCCTCTGTGACATGCTTGCCGACGTCTTGAGGGTTTTTGGTGGGTGCAATATCTTGAGCTTGTCTCCGAAGCGCGTAAATCAGCATCTGTCGTTGTCTGAGTAGTAGCCTTCGGTTTTGCCGGAGGCTTCGAGCCCCCCATCTCGTATACAATAGAAGCCTCGGTCGTCTTGCGCCTGCTCCTCAGTGACATTCTCTTCTGTGTGCCTTGGCCAAAAAGTTGTTGCAGTCGTTCTAGACGGTCAATCACCGAAGACGGATAGCGGCTGGTGTATGCACGAGAGACAGTCATGGAGCATGGGGTGGCTAAACAACAGGCCTCCCCCCGACACTAAACGTCTGGTTATGAGTCAAGCATGGCAGCGTAAATGCGGTTGTGCGGCAGCCTTGTCCATTCACGTCGTAGAATATTCATCCGTCGGTACCGTAAGATCCACCAACGCAGCAAAAAGACTGGGCAATTTCATAGCTCTTGACGCTGATTTCCTTTGGTGACCGCCACGACCTTTACTGCCAGCCGGAGCTCTCATACAAAGTTTTGTGGAAATCGCCTGCCATGAAACTTGGGCTTGGCATGAGCTCGTTGCGCAGTACGCATAGTACTATAGAGAGTGCTTTCCAAGATACCCTTCATCGTGGGGTCATGGCCGATCGGACGATTGACGCCAGCAATTGGCTTGCGCGTGGTGACGTCTCAGCTGGCAAGGCAGGACGACGATCGTTTGCAAGACAGCGCCCACCAGCCTCCCTCCCAGCCCAGCTTGGAGCGGTTCAGGCACAGCGGATATCTCAGACAACAGCGGCACAGGCGCCGAGCCAGCCTCTTCGAATTGCCTTGCTGCTTTCCGCATAGCCCAGCGTACCGGGTTACTCGAAGGGGCGGGTTCGCATGGCCATGATGGGCAACGTGGATCGGGCCTGTGCGCGAAATGTTGGTCTTGAACTTGAGAGGTGATGAAATCAGGAATGGTCCCGCTGTCCCAGGTACGTATCCATCCGCATACAATTGTGTCGTAGGCGGTGGGCGAGGGATGGCAAAGCCTGGAGCTGCCTTGCAAATCGACGGGTTCCAGTAAACACAAGGACCTTGACCTTGTCTCTGGCCAGGGAAGGTCTCCAAGATACTGGGTCAATCACGTAACGGGCTGGATCCCGTTCCGTCCCCTGTGCTTGAGAGCTGGTCGAACATGGGAATTTGGCCTCGAAAGCCCCTCCCTAGCCGTCTGCTGGTAATTTTTTCGGAGTTGAAGAATCGTGCCGGAAAGTAGCAGGTGGTGGTTGAGATTGCATTGGACGGTGATGCGTGTAAGTGATTGCGGTGGATGGACAGTGACAGAGGATGTGTAGGCACACCCTCGCTTGCGCGCCGTCTCGAAAGAGGGCCCAGGGGACCTTTTTTTGGGGGCCGTCTGGGATGGTGCCGGTACTTGGGAACGGGTGCCGCTGGCGGCTGGATATGTGGCGAGAAGCAGATCCAGGAACGGGTTCGATGCGGTGTACGGATACCTAGCGCGGTGCAGCGGCAGAGGGCGATGATGTTGATGGTGGTGAGGTGGTTGAGGTTATGGACACTCGGGCAATGGAGGAGTGTGTCGACTCTCTCTTGCAAGTTGCAGCATGGAGGTGGATGGATTGGATTGATGGGTGCTGGGAAAAGAGGCATATCCGGCGCGCGGTGAGGACGGCAGTGGTCGCAGGCAGGCCCACGTCTCGATTAATGAAGACGCGCAGTGTGGTGCTTAGAGACCAATGGGCGGTCCCTCAGAATTGCTTCTTTTCCGGCCGTGGGAGAAAAAAGGTCCCTTTCCCTTTGGATGCCCTTGCGCCCCTGGAGCCGCCAGCGAGTTCGAGTCGTTGCTTCTTTCTCGTCTGTTGTTCCTCCGCTGGTGGGGCGTGCCATGCTTGTTGTCGACTGAGATACCCTGTCACGCCTGTTCTGCTTGCCTTACCTTACCTTCTCGCGTGTTGTCATTCGTCGAGGTTGGGCTCTTTGCACCTGGGGACTTGAGGACGCGCTTGCCTGCCAACTCTTTCCTTCCTTCCTGCTGGCTTCCCGCGCCTCTTTCCTGATGTTGACGCCTCCGTCGTTCATGCGGAGCCGAAGCAGAGCAGGAGCTGGAGCTGGAACTGGAGCAACACGGGCGGGCAAGGGCGATGGAGAGGTGCTCCATGGTAGGTAGTGTACTTGCTACTTCACTTTTTCGGATGTCGCAGCTACCTCCTACCCACGCAGCACTGTCACTCCTGCCTCGTCTGAGTACGCAGTGTGTCTGGTCCGTCTCTCTCTCTCTCTCTCTCTCTCTCTCGTCCTTTTTCTTTTTCCCTCCCAACTACCTGCCACACCTGTCTCGATGTAAGGTAGGCTAGGTGGCTAGGTATTAAAGGCAAAAGAGGGAATGGACGGCAGCCAGAACAGACACCAAACGCCGTGAACCTTACTCTGCCACTCTAGTCCCTAGTCGCCCACCGTTTGCTGTTGTCGAGTCACACTATGGTCCGTCGAAGAGTCACTGACCGTTAAGGTGTGTGTCTGTGTGGCGGCGGCGGCTGCCATTCGTCCGCATCTTGTTCCCGTCGTCGTCGTCCTCCAGTTGGTTGTTTGGTTGCCTGCCTTGCATTGGCTTTCTTTGGCCGTGCCCCGATGTAAGCCAAAAGGGAGCCTTCACTTTTACCTGGAGAGCAATGGAAACCTAAGGCCCAGCCGGCTCAACCAGGTTCACTACGATGCCCCTTCCCGCATCACCATGGCCTGCCTTCCGAGTCTAAACCACCGCAGTGCCCGTATGGCTTGCTAGACATTACATACAAACAGTCCTCCTGCTCCGTACAGAGTACATGTCACTCCCCTGCTGCCCTTCTCCTCTCCTTCGTAGTGTCCCCTCCGTCCAACGCCCCCAAACGTCGGCCGAGCTCTGCCTTACGGATACCCTCCGCGCGTGGTCCTCACCTCCTTCATCTTGGACCGATCTATGGAACCTTGAGCCCGGACTGGCTACACAGGTGCAGGTACCTCGACACTGGGTCAACCTGGATCTGATCTTGAGTCGAGTCAACACTCGCATGCACATCTCCAGCTCCCCCATACTGCAAGCCTTCTTATTCTTAACCCCTTCCCCATCCCGTCGCCCCTACCCTTCTCGCATTCCACTCCTACCTACCCCGAGGTTTGCTTTTTTCAAATCATATATACTTGGACTGGCCCCCTCGTAGCTTTGACAGACTACACATACATCTTTGTTGTTACTACGATCATTCTACCCCACGTACGAGCAGCATATCTTCGTTACCGCCTTGCAACGAACCGGTTATAAGACGACCACTTATAATCACAACAAACAGCGTCGTCGTCCACGCAACCTCAGACATCATCCTCTCCTTGGACCGCTGCGACCTGGTCGAATAGCATCTCACACTATCGATGGGCCCTCTCTTCTTCCTCAACAAGACACAATCAAAGAATCGGACCTACCGTCGAGTCGCAGCACCTTTGCAAAGGAACAATTCCGCTGTCACCAACACTGCCGCCGCCGGTCGGATTTAGTTCCTCGAATACCGGACGCTAAGAACCGTAGGGCTTTGCGTGCCTCCATTACGTGTTGCCCCTTGGTTAAGAAATCGCCTCTGCCGGCCTTCGATCCGAATCTACTGGTCATTACCAATACCGAGCCGTCTCTCTTCCGTCGTCTCCGTCGTCGTCGTGTCGTCGTTGTTCCCGTTGTCGCCCCCATCGGCCCCCCAGCCCACCTTTATTTGCCTCCCCGGTCACCCACGGTGAATTGCCAGCAGCCCAGTGCTTCTGGTACGCATACTATTTTATTGGCCCAAACCCTCCAGCAGCCGACCAGGTACACACCGGCCATATACCTTTTGTCGAGTCCTCCTCACAAAACGCAGTTGACCTTTTGCGACTGCAGCGACAACAAAAAGATCGAGAGAGTAACAAAAAACAAAAAAAAAAAAATTACTCGGCAACGCAAGAACCAGGAACACCTGCTCCTCACACACGGAATACACCCCTCCCCCTCTGCATCACACTCACTGCTAGTCGAGACCGGACTCGATCTCCTTTTTCGGGGCGCATCCGCCGGCTGCAGCAGGTGGCCCGATTTAATAACTACCCACAAAAAGGGTCGAGAAACGTTCTGGGTGCCACGGTCCCCTACCTAACCCAATACAACGGCTACTTCCCAGCTGACATGAGGAGCGCCTTTCGCTGGTTAAACCCAACAAGTACCGAGGACCCGTCCAACCGGTCCACCGCCGCCGCCCACAACAGACAAGACAGGCGCACGCCCATTACAAGTGACTGCGCCAGCGCCGATAATATTAGTTATCGTGCGTCGGCGTCCTCGTCTGCTTCTGACAACGCCTTCGCTTCTCCTTCACCAGGCTCCTCCAACTCAACCTCTCTTACCCCCAACTCGCCTTCCCCTCAACCCCTCACACCCACCGACTCTTTTGACGTGCCTGATTCCCGTCCAAGCGTGTGGTCGTCCAAGCCAATCACCATCGCCACGCCCACTCGCGATCTCTCACGCTCCCCCTCAGCTGTCCCCGCCAAATCCAGCTTCGAAAGAAATCCCTTCCAGCTGCCCGACGAACTCCTCAACTTTCCTCCCATCCCGACCAAGAGCATCGATATGACCACTGGCCCCGCCATGGATTCGGCCATGGGTCGGAGTCGTCAGGACTCCTTTGTCAGTGCTGGCCCCAAGCCCATTTCTATGGCCAACCCCAATCGCGATCATGTCAACCGCCAAAGACGTGAGAGTCTCGGTCTTGCTGGCAGCCTGATGGGCGGCAATTCCAGCTGGGCCCCCATGTCCTTCGGTAGCTTCATTCGCGACGAGTAAGTTTAATCCTGTCTACCCCTCAAGAGACGCGCCTCCTCGGCGTCGCCAAAACCACAAATTTCGTGACACTCGGGCAATACAATATCCCCTCACCTCCTCCAGAACAATAGATCGCTGATTTTGTTGCGCTAGTATTGCCATGGCCGGCACCTCGCCCTTCGCTCACCAGGCATCGCCATCTTTCCACTCCGGCTCGTACTTGCCTAAGCTGGAGGCCAGCTTCATGAAGGACTTCACCTGCTGCGGCCTTAACCTACCCAACCTGCACGATCTTCTCCAGCATTATGAGGAGTCGCATACTCAGCCGAGCCCGAATACTGCGCGCAATGCGCCCTTCTCGGTCATGTCTACACAACCGTCTTCTAGAGCAAGCAGTGTAAGACCGCAGACTCAGCAACAAAATACGGCTTCCTTGTCTCAACTCGGCCAACAGAGCCGTCCAGGTTCGAACCTGGGTGGCGGCATCGGAGGCATCGGCATGCAATTAGGCCAGCAAAACATGTCGGGCCAGCAGAGCCAAATGTCACATTTGGATGAGATGGAGACCGTCGGCGACATGGAGATGGATGACGCGCTTGGGCACATGGAAATGGACGACAGCCAGACCCAGCAGCGAACAATGTCCCAAACTCGCACAATGTTCGGTCAACAGCAAAGACCGCAGTTGCATGTCAACGCCTCAGGCCTCACTCAGGGTTTGCGGACATCTCAGCCTGCGACGCCTGCAGCCGCGAGCTTTGGCCTGCAGCACAACCCCACCGTTTCCTCCGTAAACACGCCCACGCTCACCACGCAACAAACGCCTCAGCAGCAACGGTCGAACAACGGTTTCCTCCAGAACTCTCAGATGCAGCCTATGGATGACATGGACGAGGATCTGCCCGGCATGCCAATGGGCGGCAACATGGAGCTGAATGGATCAAACTTTGGGGATGTGAACTTTGGCAACTCCAGCACGAACCCCGAGTTCTGCATCAATGATCCTGCCAAGCACCTCTATAGTCCTGGCGGCGCACTCAGCAACCAGCAACGGGCTATTCAGCAGCACCTTATTGGAATGGGTTTCGATCCAAGCCAGCCCAACAGCCCTGCCAACAAGGCCCTTATCCAGAAGTTTGGCGCAATGATGGTTCCCGAGGAGCACAAGCCATTCAAGTGTCCCGTCATCGGCTGCGAAAAGGCGTACAAGAACCAGAATGGCCTCAAGTAAGTTTGCAATGACTCTATTGGTGTGGAACTTGTGCCTGACCATGACTCAAACAGGTACCACAAAACTCACGGCCACCAAACGCAACAATTGCACGAAAACGGCGACGGAACCTTCTCTATCGTCAACCCCGAAACCAGCGCACCCTACCCTGGCACTTTGGGCATGGAGAAGGAGAAGCCGTTTTCCTGCGATGTGTGTGGCAAGCGCTACAAGAACCTGAACGGTCTCAAATACGTTAGTTGTGCCCTATTTTCGCACTGGCAAGACGCCGAGGCTGACCCGAAGCACAGCACAAAGGACATTCCGCACCGTGCAACCCCGACTTCAAGTTCCTGGCTGCGGGGCTCCAGAACCTCACTAGCCTACCGGGTCTCATGGAGAATTCCATGTCAAACCTTCCTGGGATCGGCGAGGACCAGATGATGTAGGCGCACAGCGGCAACGTCGTTTGGCGGGATTTTCCCGATCGATTCATCCCCCACGTGGTACTGAACTTTGCCACGGTCAAGGGGGTCTATTGAATTCTCAGCAACATCCCGGCTTGGGGCCTGGAAGCGTCCAACCAGAAACCCGATGCCACGGAGTCGGTTTGCAACATATCGTGCGGCGTTTGATTGCTTTCGCGGACATTTTATTTTCGGTCGATTATCAGCTCGACCAAGTCTGCTCTTATCCGTTTTATACCCTCATAGACTTACCAGTGACGTTTTGCGACCGACCACGATACACCCCCCTCTAGAATTAATACGAGCCTCGGAGACGACTGGGGACAGACAGCTACGGGCAATGGAAGGACACCAGTGTTGCTCGACTTCCCAGCGCTTCAGTCTTCTTTGTCAATAGTTGACAACCTCATGTCGGGGTGTCTTTTTGACCTTTTCCTACTGTTGTGGTTGCTACTGGTAACCCCTAATTTCCCGGAAGCACAGGATGTTGTCCAGGAATACGAACGAAGGAAAGAAGGAAAACCAAAAGGGAAGAAAAGAATTGCATGAAGTGCAGAACGAACATACGTGGCCTGACGGGTCTTTACGAGTTTGGACTATGACAAGGAGAAAAAAGGGCTGGATGGTTGTTTTTACAAAGAACTTGGGTCATCAAGCGGCCTGGCCTCCTTTTCTGGGATGGCGATCTCCCCTCGACAGCGTTTGTAGCTAGGGCAAGGATAGTTGGTTGATGAATGTGATTATGCGGGCGTTGTACGACGGGTACTGGTTGGGAAAAGTTGAAGTTGTATGTTGCGAAGTTTTTTTTATCAAAAAATAGACTGAACGGATTGAGCTCTCGCAAAAGAGAACAAAAATCGTATCTTGTGCTGACATTGATGTATGGGATATCTCGTCTACAGGTCCTCAACTCCAGCGCGTGTCCCTCCTGTAAAGCAGCTTGCGGAAAGAATGAACAAGGCAAGCAAACCCAACACCAGCATATGCAATAAACAACTGCCCATGCGCCCCATTGGTGATCCCACGTGAACCGCTCCGTCGTCAATTGCAAGCCGTCGAACCGCAGCATAGGCAGTGCCTAGCTAGACGCATGTTCTCATGTTTCCTGATGAGAACCACCCCACGTTGGTGTAAATCCATCGAATTGGCTTCATGGCATAACTCATGTCATCTCCATCCCGTCTTCGTCATCGGCCTCGCTGTCCAGAAGCTGCGTGTGGTTGCTACTGATGCTCTCCTTTCGGCTGACAATAGAGCATCCATCGCCGAAGCGGGTGCCAGCCAAACCACCAACGTACTCAAGCTCGTCGCCACCAACAACACGCCCCTCCATGTCTATCTCCTGTGATAGCTCGACCAGTGCCGCACGCGGCAAGCGAAGGAAACCCTGAGTTCGAACTATCCGGCCCCAGTGTAGGAGGCAGAATTGTGCCGCACGTTTCCGCAGCCAATCCTCGTTGGCAAGTCCAGCACAGTGCCAGATGATGCAGGCATGGTCGACATCCAGCTCCTTCGACAGCCGGTTCACACAGAGTAACCGCAAATGTGGTATTCCGTAAATGTTAGACATGACGAGTAGCCCGGCCACATCAGACAATTCGGTGGTGGCGCCACTTTCGTTCACCGATGTACCGTGAATGCTGTCTGTGTAGAGATAGTAGAGAAATGCTTTCACAACAGTGTAGGGCTCTGGAATATGCATTCTCTTCGTGTGAAACTCGGCCATTTGAGAGTTATAGAGGCGGGCAAAGTGTGGCCAGCGAGCCTGAAGAATAAGCTTATGAACGTGGATAGGCTGTGAGGTGGGTGCATCAGGGGCGAGCCAGTTCTGATCTGCTGAAGCGTTGACATTTCGGCTCATCATATCGTCGTCCTCATAATCGCCCTCTGACGCGGTAATACTGAAGTCGGTCCCGCTGCCTGTCTCTGGAGGCTGGTCAAAAAGTTTGGCTAGGTCGGCACCAAGGCCTTTGGACGGCTGATCTATGACTCTCGTAGTTGGCCGGGATTCTGTGCGCGGCTCGGAAGAGATATTACTTCCAAGGAAGCCGTACCGACGAAGATCCATCTCCATAATATCACTAGTCACAGTCAGTATGGTATCCGGCTCATGAGGAGCGGTGCAGCTCACCTTAGATATTCCTCGAAACCATTAGGGCCAAGGTCGGCTGCGGCAGGATCGGTGGGACATCCGAGGAGCCACGCCTTCGTGCCATCCTCATTCATCGTGCAGTAGTGCCAGCGGTACCCGTTTTTGAATATTTCACGACCTTCGGCAAGCTTTTGCCACCTTAGTGTTGGGAGATCTAAGGCCGACAGTGAGCATTCCTTAGATGTGATGATTGTCGATGGCGTGACGAAATCAAGTAGTGCACCTGATGAGTAGACATGAAAGTGAATCCCAGAACCCTGAGAGGGTATGTTGGGGCCGGACACAAACTTTAAAGACGAGATCGTTCCAGGTGCCATCGGGGCGAACGTCTTGAGTTGAAAAGATGGTGGGTTGACCTGTTGGGTGCGAGAGTTGGCGGCATAACCAGAGGCTCCGACGGCAGGGGGAGGATGGGATAGTGTGTATGGCTGTCTCGGAGAGCCGACTGTTCGACTTGTGCCTGTTTGTCGGTCGAAGATGCCGACATGAGGAGAAGATTCGAAGGCTGGGCTGCCTTTCAGATCTAACCACCACAAATCTCCAATCTTGTCCATGTCCTCGGAGAGGCCGCCGAAGACCCAGACTCGGTCGCCCCAGATGTAAGCGGAGTGGTCGAAGCGCCCCACGAACCGCCACGAACGAGACCATGTGAAGGTCTTCAAGTCGAGGTAGCATATATCATCGAGCACGTAATTGTCATGGCCAGTTATGCCGCCGACTATGAACAACTTGTCTTCGTGGAGAACAGCGGCATGCCTAGCTCGCCCTTTTGGAACGGGGCCCGTCACCTGCGGTTGTGTCCAATGTGCCGTCTTCAAGTCGAACATTATCAGGTCTGAAAGATACGTCCTATGCTCGTTCTCGCCGCCAAAGACAAGCAATTTGTCGCCTTGGTATAGGGTAGCCGTGTGGCCTGCAGTTAATTGTTAGGCGATGACGAGGCAGCGGGATGAAGGCTGCAATTACTTACCCATACGCACACCGGGGATATCGCCGTAGTTGTCTACCAGGCTCCATTGATGGCTGATCAAATCTAGCTTGAGGACATGGTTGTACACCTCATCGGTGTATTGGTCAAAGCCTCCAAAAGCGTATATCTGATTGTTGCCGCAGTAGGTGACGGAGGCATTGACGAGACAGGCAGGGCGCTGGCCTAGGGTCCTCGTGATTCGAGGTCGGTATCCATCTAGCGTTCCTCTGTTTTTAATAGGGGAGTTGGGCATGATGTAGGTATTGTTGCTTGATGCCGCAGAACCTGGAGTCTGGTCCATTGGCGACGGCGTCGGCTGCTGCGATGGCGTCGAAGAAGAGGACGACGCTGGTAGAGCCTGGTTCGTCGGGACGCCAAAAAGAGACTGCGACGGGGGCACTGGAGTTCCTGGTTGAGGCTGCGGCTGAGCCATGGTGAGCGGACAGGGTAGAGTTCTCGAGTGCTATAAAATCATCCCAATCGTGGCCGAAATCGCAACGAGGATTCGCAGGCCTTGAAGTCTGCGGGTACGAAGGTGGAGGGCCGACAGCGAGGAAGAGGAGTCTCGGAGGAGGTTGACACCACAGTGGGTAGTGCAGTGCAGTGTCGCCTGGTGTCGTGTCGTGTCGTGCCGTATTCTGTCGTCGTCTCTGTTCGAGGTTGCGGATTCGCAGAGACGAGACAAGAGCAGATGCGGATGGGGGACTCGGATGGAGGGTGCAGGCGCGAGTGCAATCTCGATAGAGATAGTGGACAGGCGATAACGAGATGGCGCTGCCGTCGCACGCTGCGATGGTGGAGGTCAAATGTTCCTGCATTGACAATCCGAGGCCTCTCTTAATTTTGGGCAACCACGGGCCACACTCAATGTCCCGCCGCTCAGTGCAGTGGTCCACGTTTGCACCAATGCCGCACCCTGCACACTTGCGCAGGCGCTGCACCTCTGTCGTGGCAACTGCCAGGGAAGGGGCCCCTCCTCTAATTGGGTAGCCCGGTTGACGGCAGCAGCCGGCCCTCAAAAATTTGCTGCTCGTGACTGACTGCCCGTCTACCGCTGGTGCAGTCTGTCATTGGTGGCGTCAGAGGCTCCACTCTGTCAGTCGTGGTCGACCCCCAAGCCGCTTCCACATCCACATCCACCACCGTTCTCTAGGTGAACATGGCCCGAGCGTCGTTGCCCGGCCGCAACAATGGTGGGGCACAAAGTAAATAAAAGAGGTCGAGAGCTCCTGACCAGCTTGAAGCCATCTCTTCTCTGTACCAAACCTCATCACTTCGCAAACCTCCTCAAACCTCCTCAATCGCTCTCGATCCAAGCTCTTGAGCTTGGTGATTCTCTCCATCAAACCTCTGTTTCCAAGAACAATCAAGTCCGCTAGATCTCATCGCTGTCATCGGCCATCTGATCGCCCCATCGACTTCGAGCACTTCTTGCGACTGCACCACTTCGACTTTTCGAACAATTAAAAACAACGACAAAATACTAACAAACAACACAAATCCAGGAACCTTTAGCTAGAGTCTCTTGGAGCTCGTTCGACATTCGGAGCTCTCACACTCATCCCTCTTCCTTCGACGGACTTCGTTGCCCTCGTTGGAGACTTACACATCGTTGCTACGATATCCCACACACCACACACGCATACAGTATCCAACATGGCCACTGCATCAGTATCGACCCCTATTAAGTCCCACAAGGGACTCTTCTCTTCCCGTACCGCTGGCGGACGCATGCCTTTGACCCCCTCTCCCCGTCAGCACTCCACCACCTCCATCTCAGCAAACCTGAACTCTTCCCCGTTCACCCCTGAGAAGCAGTCGAGCAATGACACCTACCGGACAACTGGCAAGTCCACCTACAGTGGCAACCTCACCGCACACCTCGCAAGATCCACCACCAACAAGTCGTCTCACCGCGACTCCCCCAAGTCCAACATTGCCAGAGGCGTCTCCACCCCCCGCAAAGCCCTTGAGCTTGGCGTCTCTGACTTCACGTTGACTGGCACTGGAATCAAGACTCCTTCCAGCTCCAAGGCCAAGAAGGGCTCTCTGAGGCAAAAGACCGCCAAGACCACCGTCAACTACGGTGCCGACAGATTTATTCCCAACCGTGGCGCCAGCTCTGCCATCGCCAACGCCGGAAGCAGCAAGCTCGACAGGCCTGACAAGAAGTCCAAGTCGAGCGCCAACGAGGCCTCCAATGTCCTTTCATCCGCTACGGATGACGCCATCGCCGCCTTGGAAGGTCTGAACATCGACGAGGAAGAGCCTGCCACTTACTCCCGCCCTTCTCCCAACACCGTCGCCTACCAAGACTCCCTCGCCAACGCTTGTGGTGTCAGCCTCAACACTCGCATTCTTCAGTTCAAGCCCGCGCCCCCCGAATCCTCGAAGCCCATCGACCTTCGCCAACAGTACAATCGCCCTCTCAAGCCTGCAACTGCAACCTCTGCTCAGTTCCGTCGTCGTGTCGCTACAGCCCCTGAGCGTGTTCTCGACGCCCCCGGACTTATCGATGACTACTACCTCAACCTGCTCGACTGGAGCTCCGGCAACCAGGTCGCCATCGGTCTTGAGCGCAATGTCTACGTTTGGTCTGCCGACGAGGGTAGCGTTAGCTGTCTTCTTGAGACCAGCGCTGACACTTATGTTAGCAGCGTCAAGTGGTCTGGCGATGGTGCGTACGTTGGTGTCGGCCTCGGCACTGGTGAGGTCCAGATCTGGGATGTTGCTGAGGGTCAGAAGGTCCGCAGCATGTTTGGCCATGACACGCGCGTTGGCGTCATGGGCTGGATCAAGCACCTTCTCTCTACTGGCGCCCGCAGTGGCCTCGTCTTCAACCACGATGTCCGTATTGCGGAGCACAAGGTTGCGGAGCTCGTCTCGCACACCTCTGAAGTCTGTGGTCTCGAGTGGCGTTCCGACGGTGCTCAGCTCGCCACCGGCGGCAACGACAACCTCGTGTCCATCTGGGATGCCCGTTCTCTGTCGGTCCCCAAGTTCACCAAGACCAACCACAAGGCCGCCGTCAAGGCTCTCGCCTGGTGCCCTTGGAACATGAACCTTCTAGCCACTGGTGGTGGTTCGTACGATCGCCACATCCACTTCTGGAACTCCACCTCCGGCGCTCGCGTCAACAGCATCGACACTGGCTCCCAGGTCACCAGCCTCCGCTGGAGCCCTCACTACCGTGAGATTGTCAGCTCCAGTGGTTTCCCTGACAACTCTCTCAGCATCTGGAGCTATCCCACTTTGGTTCGCAACGTTGAGATCCCTGCGCATGAGAGTAGGGTCTTGCACAGCTGCCTCAGCCCCGACGGTCAGATGCTTGCTACCGCAGCTGCCGACGAAAGCTTGAAGTTCTGGAAGGTGTTCGAGAAGAAGGCCGGAGCTGGCGCTGGCGTGGGTAGCAGCGGCTCCTCTGCCAAGGCAGACATGGTCAAGCAGATGACCATCCGGTAAACGTCTCATTGACCAAGCCTGGCGAATGTCGGTACAACGACGTCAACAAATGTAGGTATATCTCCCTCTGGCATTTGTCGGTCATGGGTTCCTAGCGGGTTGGGGTTCATCTTCAGCGAGGAGTTTGGAATTTTTTGCATCCGACTCTACGTGGCACGAAAGAGCTTCTCCACGATGGGAAATGAAATTGCTTGGTCATGAATTGCGGCACACGATACCACCACTGATAGCTGTTTCGGCTTTGGAGAAATGGGATTTGTATTTTTTGTTCGGGGAATGGAATTGTACGGTTTACAGCTACGTGCTTCACGTATTCGAGATTGCAGCATCGGTTAAGTAACAAGATGCCTCTCGCAATAAATACCATCAGATAAAATAAAAACACTCGGGGTTTTTTTTCAACATGCATCATTGAAAGTGTCGTGAAGGCTTCAATTTCTGGGTCGTGGTACCTTGCAGTGAAAATACCTTAGAAGGCAGGGGCTCAAGTGGAGGGTCCCTCCTTCTCCCCCGCGTTCCCGATAATCCATGCAGATGCCATCTTATCGCGTTATCAGCTTCTGTCCAATTCACCCAAGATAATCGGTTTAGTGGGGCTCGGGTGATCCTCAGCCTTTCCGCTGCCGCTGCCGCCTAACCTGCTGAGGCTGACTAATATCAAGCGCCCGTTCTCTCAACGTCGAAAGGAAATCTACCGAACAAACGCAACCTAGACCCATACACAACCACCGCCGAAAACAGGGCCCCAACAAGACGTCCTGCCACGACCCGAGCCTCACATTTTCGACGAGAGCGTATCGCATAAAAACAAATACCAGGCTTGCAGTTTCCTTTCCCTGCGTGCGCGTGCCATTCTGGGCAGCGAGAGTGGTGGACCAGGCAAGCGATCCTCCATCGGCAAATCAACCAAAACCTGGAATCTAGGAAGCGCACCCAGCCAGTTTGGTGCTTATCAATTGCGACATCGATTCAACCGAGGAACAAGAATCGAGAAGGAACTTCGATCCGGTACGCGTGACACCGCAGTCATCCATCAGTTCGCTATAGCATCAGCAACCTTCACCGAGACACCACCGGACGTTCCTCCGCTAGCCGAGTGATAACCCGCCCACCAACGCCAACATGTCCAACAACGCCGTTGGCAACGTCTATGAGCAGATTATCAATGAGGTAATCAACTCATCGCGCGTCGATTTCGAGGAGGGCGGTGTAGACGAGAACGTGTTGGAGGAACTCAAGAAGGGCTGGCAGGAGAAGTTATCGCAACTCGAGGTCGCAAGCTTCCCATGGGATCCCAAACCAGATGCTGCACCCCCGGCCGCCCCGGCACCCGCACCTGCCGCACCCCCACCGCAAGCCGCCCAGTACTCGCAGGCCCAGCTGAGTCCTCAGCTGCCTCTGCAAGGCGTTCCGCTTCCTGGTCCTGCCCCCGGAAACCCTGCTATTAAGGAGGAACCATACATCAAGCCCGAGCCTGGCGTCCAAAATGTTGCCTTGAACCCGTCTCAACAGGAAGGTAGCAACCAGGCTGCCTTCCGCGCTGCCCAGCACATCAGAGGTCAGTTCGGCGAGAAGGGTGCCGGCTCAATCAACGCGATTCAGTCCTCTGCTACAAACAGACCCGCCGGCCAGCCTCCCATGCCCCAAATGCCCGGCCAGCCTGCCCAGCAACAATATCGCCCACCCCAGCCGCAGGGCCAACAACAGCGGCCTGCAAGCAACGGTCAGCCTGGCGTGAACCCCTCGCAGACTGATGGCGCCGATGATGACTTCGACTTCGAGGGCGTCCTGATGCAGCGCAACGCTGACGGCACTCAGCGTGAGCTCGGCCGTGTCGACATTGATCGCATGATCCACGCGCGGATTGCTGCCAACGCAAAGAGCATGGAGGGTGGCGGTCTTATGCTGCCTCTCCAAGAGGCTACGAAACACAAGGCCGCGGCCACCTCGCGCTCCAAGGGCAAGGAGCATGGCGTTGCCCCCTACGATGGCTACGACGATGATGAGCTTGACGAAGATGCAATCAACTCGGATCTCGACGACCCTGATGAGGATAAGGATGATGACGAAGTCGACGACGAGGGTCTGGGCCACATCATGCTCTGCATGTACGACAAGGTCCAGCGCGTCAAGAACAAGTGGAAGTGTATCCTCAAGGACGGTGTCCTTACGGTGAACGGCAAGGAGTACGTTTTCCACAAGGCTACCGGCGAGTACGAGTGGTAAAGCGGCCCTTCCGCACACACCCGAGATACACACCTAGGCAAACCGACTTGCTTCCTCGGGTATGTCGAACCTCGAGCTGGAAATTGCGATTCTATAGACTGGCACGAAGCCAAAATGGCTCGCCCGCCAGAGCCTCGTCGCCATTGTTCTGGTCTCTTTTTGCGACAGTTGCCCATATCAATTTCATCATCTATGCGGTTCTCGCTTCGTCACAGCGCAGGCATGGGAAACGAGAAATGTGGAAAAGACTGCACCTCGCGATCAGCACCTTCGACTTGGCCACAGCCTGTTCCTTCGCTCTTAAGACTTTTGCGTTATGAGTACGAAGTGGTCAAGGGTGCGTAGTCACGAGCGGCGAGAAGTCGAGAGAGTATGATTAAAAGTTTTCTTAACCGGGGAAAGGGACGACGAGCAACGCAGTCTGGCAGTTTGATCCGTCCATTTAGGGAGAGGTGCAAGGGACACAGAGTTTTCTTTTCCTTCTTCGTTCGCGTTAGGGAGGCTTTTCTATGGAATGCGGGCCTCCTTTTTACGACAACACAACAACCAAAAAAAGTGTACAACAGCACCCAAGGGTTTTCTCTAGAATAGAACTGCTGCCACAACAATCCTCGCGTGCCTCGGGGTGAGACCGGTCCGTCTTTAGCAGGCGGTTAAGCTGTTCAAGCTTTTGTTTGAATGTGACATTTCAGAAAGGGAGCCCGCGGGTCCCCACCGACGTTTTCCAAAGGCTAGCGATTCTTTTCTTTTCTGGCACATATGATTCCATCACTCTGTTAAGGTTTAAGACAAGAGACAGGTCTAGCCAACGACACATCCCATTCCGCGGCGGTAGCCCTCTCTCTCTCTCTCTCTTTCTCTTGCTGATGATGGTGTGTTGAAGCGAGCAAACGCCCGTCGGGCCTTCTCTCCAATCCCCCCCCCCCCGCCCTTCCATTGAAGCCGAGACATGCCTCACGCTCTCGCTTCAACCCGTCACCGCTTCTTCGAAGGCGTGTCTTGTGGAACGCGAGATGCTGTTCTTCTGAATCATCATGGGAAAAAAAGAGGCCGGGGAGGCCCCGCGCGGGCGGCCCCCAGGTGCCGTGATGGGCGCTATCTGAACTTGAGTTTGAAACATGTGGCATCGCTAAGAGCTTTTCGGGTGCCGGCTCGAGTCTGTTTGCTTGCTTTTTCTTCTGTCCTGGTTGTCTTTGCTATCAGGGTGCGCTTCGGTCCTCTGAAATCTCTGTGTCCGTCTTGGTGATGGGGCCAAGAGGAGACGGGGGAGTATGGATAGATAGATGATGCCAGCCGATGTGGAAACGTGATAATGGTTGGTCTTGGAACTATCGCGGGCAGCTGCTCGGAGGTCAAATACTGGCCGTGTATCTGGATCAAAAATAAGCAGGCTGCAGATGCCACGATCCAGTATCAGACAACACCCAATGTCCTACCAGCTCTTACGGGCACGTCGATCCTCGTTCACTTACAGAATTAGCTCACAGTCTTCTTGACCAAGGAATGGAATACCGAGTGGGATATATCCGTGGTATAGTTGAGGCTCGAGAGGTCCTGGTATCTTGATACTGGTGAGGGATGGCTGCTGTCTCGGGGAGTTGGGCCTTTCACAAAAAGCTGCGCGGTATGTCACACGACGGTGATAGCAATGTCGAAACCGGCATACGCTGCGGCCCTCAAGCGTTGTCTTCCTTTCCGTGCTCTTACCTGGATATCTGAATGCCGTCAGAAATCTCTTCTCACGGGAAGCTTTCTCGCTAGTCGTGCGTCTCGAACGAGGTGCGAGGAACGGCGTTCTGTCGAGACCCGATGACGATGCACATTATACATCTACTGCTGCTAATATACAGGCCATACGGCATAGCATCGTGCTGTCCTAACCATGTGTGAACTCCGTGCTCGGTGTAGATGATAACAACGATTATCAAGGAAAAATGGCACAGCGCTCCGGACCGCCTCGTTCCAGTCCATCGGTCGACGCCTGCTTGGAGCGACTACGTAAGTCCGTACCCAGATCACGGTCTTGCTGTCTTCTATAGTTGTTCAAGTTGGACGAGACAGAGTCGATAAGAAGATGGGCTTCACCGTCCTTGAACATCACGAATACAGGCTGCAACACAGGCTGAATCGAACCTATTCCGTCACCAGTGTATGTGCGAAGCAAGTGACAAGATGACCAAAACACTCTGCAGCACTGTCCGTCAATACAAAAGTCATTTGGACCGATCATTGACACGCTTGAGCATCCTGATGTGTGAAAGCTCAGATCTCCACTCCGCTTTAGACACCGCGTGATGTACGCCGCATATATACCAAACCGAGAATTAGCTAGCATGGACAACTTTCAATGGCACACTCAAAGAAACGCTTCATTGCTGCTCGCATTAGTTTGATTCATTCCAGCCGTCACCGAGGCACGTCGTGTTCCTCCCATGATGCTTGGGTCTCTTTTCGAGGCGCCACCCTATTCGCAGCCGCCAAGAAATGCCACGATGTCACGAACCGGACGTTTGATCCCGCGGAAAACGGTTTTACGATTGCGTAAATTGTACAGGCGATAGCTCCGCGGAGCAGCAAGCCCCCCTTCTCACTCCCGTGGCAAAAAACAGAACTGCCAGCAAGCCACGAAAGGCATTTTGGCGAGGGTCCCGCACCGGAACGGAACGTCGATCACCACAGCCTGACCATCGAATTTTCCCATCGCCTCTCACACACCCCTAAACTCGATGGCGACGCCCACGAAACCTCGCTTGGTAACCTCTCTTCATCCCCATCAACCGAGTAAGAGACTCCCCCTCCCAAGAAACTAGCCGGTGGGCAGCCAGATTGCGGGCAGAAAGATTCGCGCGTTGCCGTCGTCGTTACCGAAGCAAAGCCGGGAGAGACTACCACAAACGAACCGACGACAAACCAGAGAGCCTCTTACCTTCCCCGCTTGCTTCGAAGAAGCAGGCGAGCCGTACATATGTGTCGTGGCCAGAGTCGAAAGGCACGCGTCTATTTCGGCCTCATTCCGAATGCGGTGGGGAACGCAACCAAGTACCGACGTTGCATCCTGCATTACGGGCTACACACACAGGCCGTAAGGAAACTGCTACTTTGCAATGTTAAAAAGAGTAAGAAACAGCGGCTGTCCCCCGATGAAGTTCGGTTGTGACCACCGAGCAATTACCGGGGGGCCAATGTAAAGTCGAGGAGGTTGGGATGTTGAAATGGCGAACCGCGAGCCTTCTTGCTCCAGTCTCGAAGAAGGGGCTGGTTCTGCACATACGTACATAATCTGATGGACAAGCATTGTCGTCGAGCGGTGCCCACTTGATCTCCAGACCCAACCGCGTGCTTTATTCCGCGTGCTCAAAGATCCTCGTCGCTGTGATGACAACCCGCAGCAGGTATTTGTGCAGAAGGACAGCGATATAGTTGCACCGGGGCCGCTGTTCCGCGAGGACAGGGTTTCATTTAAATTGTATGGCTGTTTGAAGAGCGCTTCATCAAGGGCTTGACCATGGCTGAATGCGCGAAACCCCGTCCCAACCCCATCACACCTTTCTTTGGAGGAGAGCATGATGGCCCACCGACTTCAAATTCCGCACCCCATGCTCGTGTCCGATTGCTCAACGGTATCCGTACAAGCACGTATCGATCGATGGACAGGCTGGAATCGACCCAAGTGGACAATGCCATGGCTATCGTTTCATCGAGCACGCGTCGCGCACGACTTTGTCTCCAGCCTCTGAGCCATGTATCGTGCAAAAAGCACACTGACACTGGTACGGCCCGTTGAGGGGCCTTGATGCGCGTGCAGCGCAGAGGAACCACTGCAGGACAGGGAAGGCCTCGACGGGAAACTCGCAGACGAGAGCCCTGTCCCACATGCTTGCCCAGTGATGGGCGAGACGCCTGGTCCCGGATCATGGATCACACCGACATGTTCTTTCTGCAACTCTGCCACTCTCTCCAACAAGTGGTGACCCCGGCGTGGTTCAGGCGCTAAAACCCGCCGCCCCGACTTTGCGTGACGAGGCCGGTTCTGTTTTAAACACACACGGCGGCGGCGGCGGCGGCAAATCGCCCTCACGAGGGGCCGGCGTGGACCATGGGCGGCCGACCGCCCGTTGGCAATCTGATGTGTCAGCGCCTACGACCAACATCACCGTTTGTATTGTCCTCATACTAGCCCTGTTCCCGTGGTCTTCAGCATCGACCGATACAGTTTGGCTCAAGGTTCCGAAGCCGAGTCAAAAGTCCTAGGGAGATTGAGCGGGTTAAGCGAAGAGGCACAGCAAACGGACGAGCCAATTGGGCTTGGCAACACGTTCTCGCGGCTGCCTGTCAATGTTGGAGTTGCGCCAGAGTGCGAACTTGGACCCGGGAGTTTGGAACCGCTATTGCAGGATTCCGTCCAGGATCCTGTGCCTTGTTTCCCAGCTTCGGTCGGAGATTTTGCTCTTCACTGTTCGTTGCGCCGGCTGTAAGCTGCTTGAAATGGAAACAGTGTAATTAATGTAATCAACTGTGGGTTTAGGTGATGGAACTTCACCCGGTCGTAAGACGGATGACCATGCTGTGCCGCATTCCTTCTGTTGTTGACCACCCTTTTCCCAAACCTATGCATGATCAACAACACTTGCAGATTGCAATCGTGTCTAAGGCCACTCGGTGTTTGGTACAAGGTGGATTTGCGCCATGTTTAGTGTCATCCAAGCCGGGGTCCTGGGTGGCTAGGACATCGCGAAAGAATTCGGTAGTTCAGAGAACTTTGGCCTAGATTCTGTCGGTCTCACGTTGGGGTAACAATGAGATGGACGTTGGCTGCATTGCGATCGGCGGTCGAGGCTAACAAGAAGGCACCGCCGGCGTTGCTTTGCCGCACCTGAAGCAGAGCTGCCGGGCCTTGACTTGTTACGAAGTAAGCATGTACTCTGTATGTTGATAGAAGAACCGGGCGACTGGCAGAATGTGACATTCCCTCGGCAGGTTCCGGAAAAGTTTGGTTGGCA